GGTGTGCGTGTGTGTGTGTGTGTGTGTGTGTGAGAGAGAGAGAGAGAGAGAGAGAGAGAGAGGGGGGGGGGGGGGGGGGGGGGGGGGGGAGAGATGACCAGGAAGAGACAGAGAGACACGGGGAGAGAGACAGACAGACAACAGAGAAACAAAGAAACAGAGGCAGAAGGAAACAAAGAGAGAGGCAGGAAGACAGAGTGGAAGGTGGACCCAGACAGAAGAGAGAAAAGCTGTTTAAACAAGGGCTATCAGACTGGACAGATGGGGTGAAAGGGAATCATGCATTTAAAAGGGAAGGCAACCACAGATTGAATTTGGAGGATTGGCTCAGCCTCAAGTCAACTCCTTTTCCGTGTCCCCCGCCCCCCCACCCCGCCCCGGCTTCAGCATCATTTTAGCAAAATTTATCCTTCCTGTCTTCTGGCTTCATCCTGGAAGAAATGCCAAGATGCCCCTTCCTATCCTGACTGCCCCACCGCAGCCGTGGTCACTGCTCTTTTCTGGGGGTCGGGAGTGGGGAGGCTGGTATGAGGCAGGTCAGGGAGAGTCACAGGCACCTCTTCTTGGGGTCATTCTAGGCTCCCCATTAAGTGATGAGATTTGAGCCCAAGGCAGCCGCCAGAGACAGCCCGGGGGCCTTGCTCGGGAACCTCCCCCACCATCCTCACCAAACAATGAGGCTTCCTTCAACGCTTCAGATGCTAGGGGCAGGTGCAGCCAAGCAGGTGCAAACCCTGCACAGCCTTTCTGGCCTATGTGCTGGGAGGGCAAAGCTAGCACCAGTCTGTGTTCTTGGGGGTGGGGGGAGGCAGGTGAGACCGGATGGAAGGACTTGTCCCGTGAGGTCGTCTTACTCTTCCGTCCCACGTTGTGTGACTTTGAGCCACTCCCTTTCCTCTCTGTGCCTCACTATTTATTTCCCTACGTAGTGTGTGAACTGTGAGGGCGCAGGGCTCTCTGGGTCTCTGAGGCAGCAATTGTGTAGAATCGGGAGAGTTGGGAGCATGCCCTTGACATCTGGCGGGGTCCTCAGGGGGAACCCAGGAGCTGAGGCAACCAGCAGCCACCTCCCACGTCCTCCTCCCCTTGCTCAGGGCTCCTGGAGTGTGTTTTCTATTGACAACTCTCCCACATCTTGGGATCTACCTCTAAAAAGCTGTGTGACCTTGAGCTTGTCATTTGACCTCTCTGAGCCACAGACAGCAGTAAGCAGCAGAACCCAGAAATCCCTTTGGGGCTCAGCCCTGGCCTGGGATGGGACATCTAAGAGATGTGTTGGGACCTAGCACCCTGCTGGCCTCAGTCTCAAGCCCAGGATGGACTTTTTCTCTTGCCCGGGAATATCTGGCTTTGAAGCCCTCACCTGAGTTACACTCTATCAGGTGCCTTCAGCTCCCTCCTCTGGGGCCTCCCAAGGATCTGAGGCCTGGCAGGAAGGGCCTGAGCAGCCATCTTATTCTAGATGGAACTGAGGAAGCTCAGGGCTCTGGGAAGCAACCTGGGTGACCTGGGACAAGTCTCTCCCCTTCCCTGGGTCTCCCAGCTTCTCTCCAAGGTTCCTCATAGACTGAGACACAGAAGCACCATCTGCACCACTTTTGTTCATTTAAAAGCTGAAGCAGTCCCGGCTCATGCCCCGGTGCTGAGGAGCGGGCTGGCTGCTGCCGAAGATCTGGCAGGAGCTATTGGTGTGGGAGTCGTGTTTTTAAAGTTATTTTCCCTTTTAAATTCTGATTACAAAGGAAAAAAAATAGAGAGAGACATGTATATGACTAATGTTCACTTGAGATTCAAAAACCATCTCTGCATTAGGAGGAGATGTTCCCACAGTAACACGCACAAAAGCAAAATTCTAGAACAACAGAGAAGGTAGAAAAAACAAAAAACAGAGAGATACTTTGCATTTCTGTACGTTACCAAAGGGAAAAAAGAAAGCAAAGAAAAAAAAAAAAAAGGGAAATACAAACAGAAACAAAATAACAGGAAAAGTTACATAAACTTCCCCACCCTCTTCCCTTCCGGCTAAACAAGAAATGGAATCACAATATTACCACGTTTCAAATGGGAGGCTAAAAAAAACAAACAAAAACATAGACGGGGTTAAAAAACGGTGAGCTTTTTCTTTTCCCATTTGTTTCTCTCTCTCTTTTTCTTTTTTTAATGGTAGCGTCCAAGAATACCACCCCACCCTCCAGTACTTTTTTCCCAAAGACATTTTTAGTTAATGGCCGAGTCTGTGACCCCAGCCCCTATCTCACCTCCCTGGAATGAGAACTAGTCTCATTTTGCTCCTCAGAAAGGATCTGCAGGCCAAGAGGGGATCAGGTGAGGGTGAGAGGCCTGGGATGTTCTGAAGTCCCAGACCTCTTAGGGCCCAAAGGGTAGGGAGAGGATTTGGGGAGCATGCTTTTGTGAGAAGGGTAACAAAGTGCTGTCTTCTAGAAAACTCCCAGGGCGATGCCAAATTTGGTCCCATTTTTGGGGAGGGAGACAAGATGGCTGCCGAGGCTTCCTCCCTGAGGCCAGAAGCTAGGCTGCCTTCCCTGGCTGCTCTCTCCTGCGGTTTACTTAGTCCCTATGCCATTTTGTCTGCGCAGGCCCTGGGCCCTTGGGGGGTACTGCTCAGGCCTCCAGGGCAGAGGCGGGTTGGGAGGGGAGGGCCCTGATGGCGAGAACCTGCATTTCTGTGCCTCTCAGAGGATGTGGAGTTCCCATGAGAAGGTGTTTGGGGCACTGTGCTCTTCCGGCTCTGTGCCCATGGGGGGTCGGGGACGATGTCTTCTAGGTTTGCCCAGATTGGGCATCATCTCTGTGGCGTGTGGCACCAGTCCCCGTCCGGGCCGCCCTCAGCTACCTCTGTGAGCCCTCTCCCACTCCTAAGACAGGTCCAGGGATATGGGAGGGATCCTCCCCATGTGGCCCAACGAGGTCCCTTGGAGCTCAGGTGCCTGGCACCCTGTCCAGGTGGGGCAGTCTCAAGACAGGTAATGTCGTTAAACAAAAATTGATCTTGAGACTCAGAGCTTTTTGTCAGCTGCCCTTGACTTTCCTCCCTGAGGCCTTGAGAGTAAGGGTGTTTGAGAAAAGAAAGGGAGTGAAAGGAAACAGCCAGAAATCAAAATGAAACTGACCAACACGTACATGTTTGCTGCTGAGACCTGAGGTCTGGGGAGGGGCAGACTCCCCCCCTTCCTGCTGAGGCTCCTGGGGCAGCCTGGAGATCTGGGTGGAGGGGGGGAACCTGCAGGCCTGCTCACCCCCATTCCCCTGTGCCCATCCAGTGTCCCTGCCAGCACTGCAGTCCCCTCTCCCTGAGGGGACTCTACCCTGGACTCTAAGACTGACAAAAGGGGATGTGGGCCTCCCCCGCCTCCCGGGCCTGGGAGAGCCTCCCACCCTGGCACAGCTCATCTACCTGGGAAAGGCTTGGTCACCACACCTGCCTGTGGGTCTCCAGGAGTTTATTCGCCTCCTGGGGTGGAGGGTGGGGACAGTATCTCTGAGGGAGCAGTGAGTGTGCTGGGAGATGCCTTAGGAAGGATGGGCCATGGGAAGTGGAGCCCACAGATTTGAGACACCTGTCCAAGTGTGGGCAGTGCCCGGGAAGGGACAGATTTTCCTCGGAGCAGGGACGTTAGAAATGCAGCTCTGTGGCAGCAAGGGGACTGAGATGGGGGAGGGATCTGGGAGAGGGGCTATGAGGGGCTTGAGGGAGGGCGGGCTTTCCAGGTGGGTAAAGGACTTTGTGGGGAGAGGGAGGCTTAGGGCCCAAGTGATGCCCCAGGGAGGTCCTGACTCTTGAATCCTGTTCCCGATTGCGACTCCTACCAGTGTCCATGCTCCCTCCCACCCCAATATGCCTGGGGGAAGGGAGGCAGGAGGCCTTGTTTCCTTTCCAGCTCTCTACCCAACTGGCTGAGCGCCCCTGTGGTCAGCCTTCTCTGGCCTTCAGTTTGCCAAGGTCAAGGGTGCAGGAGCCCCTCACCCTGACACCAGCATTCCTGGCCGCTCGGGTGCGGGGAGGGGCGCCTGGGAGGGGGGAGCGGCCGGCCCCGCCCCCGTGACGCACTCACTGGATCCTGCCCCGCGGCGACCCGGCCCGACCCAGCTCCGCCCCGACCCAGCTCGGCGCAGCCCGCGCGGCGCGGGAACCCTCTGCAAAGCCAAGCGTACGTACATCGAGCGAGCTGTGCGCCGAGCCGGGGCGGCCCCCGTGAGCTCCGCTCCGCTGCCTGCTGCCGCCGTTCTGCTGGGGTGACCCCCATCCGCTGCCGCCGGACGGGGAAGGAGACCGGCTCCCGCTGGACCGCTGGCTGCCCGTCTTCCGCCCGTCGTCTCGGTGCTCGGGACTCAGCCTACATGGGGGGAGCCGGCTTGGGACGCCCCGTGTGCAAGCGGCCGGTGCCAGGCTCGAAAGGCAGCCCTACCCCCACCCCCGTCCCCCCACTGCGCCGGGAAACCCTGGCATGGAGAGAGCAAGGCCCCAGCCCTCACACTGCCTCGGTTTCCATTCAGGGTCTGGGGCGCCCTTGGGCATGGGCAGTAGCTCAGCCCTGGTAAATTTCTACCCACTGCTGAGCTGCTGTCTGTCAGCCCCGCTCCCCAGCCCTGGGGATGGGGGAGTGTTTAAACTGCAGGTCCCCTCCCTCCAGCGGAAAGGGAGCTCAACCGCACCTGAGCGCTCCCAGTGGCCCGGGGCCTACCTGCTGGGTGATCTGGAATCACTGTAATGGGAGGACAGTGAGGGACTGTGGGAGCTGCCGCTGCTGTGGCGATGGGACCTCCGGCCTGGGGACTCTGCATGTGTCCTGGGAAAGAAATCAGGCTGTACTCAAGTTCTGCCCCACCTCCCCAGGGGGGGGATCCCTGTGAAGCCCTGATGGAAGCCTCTGCTGACCTCCCTGCCCCCCACTGCTGCCCCCATAGTCTCCCCCCAGCCCCCCAAAATAGTCTCTTACGAAAATAGCCCTGTCCATGCTGGGCACAGAGTTAGTCCATGTGGTCATTTGTCAGAATTAGGAAAAAGGCGTCCTTTTCTGTAGACAGTCCCAGCCCCCCAAGACCTCACTCGCCCCTCAGTTGGTGTTCTTGTGACTGGGATGTGGTGGGGAGGGGGGCGGATGCAGGGGAGTCGCAAGGACTAAACTTGAAAGGACCCTGGCCTGGGAGGCCACAGGTCTGGGTTCCAGCTCTGCCACCGACTCATGGGGGCTCTTGGCTTCCTCTCTGGGTCTGAATTTTTCCTTCTGGGCAGCGGGGGACAACATGAGCTGTCTTCAAGGGCCTGGTTCTGTGATTCTAGAAGGCCAGGTTTTCTGGGGGTAGGGAGAAGGGTGGAGGGTCCTCACCTCTTCCTTTCTTTGTTCTTCTCTTTTCCTTTGCTCTTGGGGCTTCGAGATCTACAGAAAGCAGAGGCTGCTGTGACAGCACAGCCTGAGCCCTGAGCTGGCCGGGGGAGGGCGGGGCCTTCGAGCTCTGGAGCTGGCTGTGTCCAGGTGCGGATCTGAGATGTGTTCCTCTCTTGTACCTGAGACTCCCTGGCTGGCGTGGGCTTGCCCACCCCACCCCACTGCTTTTGTCCCTTTTACTCTGCCAGGCCTTATTCCCTCCCTTCTCCTCTAAGTCCTGGCCTGGATCACCTCCTGCCTGGGCCCCAACTGCTGTTCCCTCTGGCAGTGCCGTAGGGGATGTGGCTATGGCCCCAGAAGGAGGGGTGACCTGCCCTTTCCTTCTGGCATTGGTCTTGGGATAGGCCCTCTGATGAGTTGGTGGGGGGGCTCTGGAGCTGGCTGTGTCCAGGTGCGGATCTGAGATGTGTTCCTCTCTTGTACCTGAGACTCCCTGGCTGGCGTGGGCTTGCCCACCCCACCCCACTGCTTTTGTCCCTTTTACTCTGCCAGGCCTTATTCCCTCCCTTCTCCTCTAAGTCCTGGCCTGGATCACCTCCTGCCTGGGCCCCAACTGCTGTTCCCTCTGGCAGTGCCGTAGGGGATGTGGCTATGGCCCCAGAAGGAGGGGTGACCTGCCCTTTCCTTCTGGCATTGGTCTTGGGATAGGCCCTCTGATGAGTTGCCATGGGGGGGGGGGGGGCCCTCCACACCTCATTTGCATCCCCTGTGCCCCAGGTTCCCTCAGATGGGGCTTTCTAGGGTAGGGTCCAGGCCTCCTGCCTCTCTGTCCCCTGACTGTGGCCCAGCCTTGGGCCAGCTCACCAGGGGTTTAGGAAAGAAATGCTTTCCCTTGGACATGATGACCTTCCTGCTTTGGGGTTACTCAAACCCCATCTCATCTCATCCAGCTCTCTGGGGCGAGCCCCACAGCCCAGCTCCTTCTGCCTTTGACAAATGGACTGAGAAGTTTCTGATCAGGCTTCTAAGGTCTCACCCCTGTAGGTCTCTCAGCCTCACCCTCCCTGATGCCACCAGATTCCTGCTCAATCCCTCTAGTCCTGAACAGATGCCTCCTTCTGACCAAAAAATGAGGAGATGCTAAGAAACACCAGAATGTGTTTCACACAAGAGCAGAGTTGGGTGGGGGGCAGGCCCACGAGTCCAGAGGTTTGGGTTCTAGAACTCATGCTGCCTGCTTTGGGCCTCAGTCTCCCCTTCTGGAGCTGGTCTGGCCCTAGCTCACCTCTAGGTCTTCCCCAGGACTGATGGGAGCGGGACAGAGGATCTGTGCAAGCGGTTGGTGACCACTGGGGGGCAGTAGGGGCCCACACTGACCCTGAAGGACCGGAGGGGGCTTCAAGGGGGCTTCAAGGGGGAGAGATGGGAAATTGGAAGGACAGGAGGAGGTGTTTGTTTAGGCTCCTCCCCCACCTTGCAAGTGGCCGTGGGCAAATTCTCACTGCGGGAATGGGACCAGGGACTCTGCCCCTCCCCAGGGCTGCTGGGAGGAGGTCTGGCTCCAACGCCAACAGTGGGGATGTGACTGCCCCACATGGTCCTTTCTTCCGTGCCGAGTTTTCTACTACTTTCCACACCCCTACCTCTGCCTGGGTTCCAGCCTTACACCTCCTCTCCCCTCTGCAATCCATCCTGAACAAGTCACTGTCCTGCTCAGAGCCCCCTGCTGGCTCCCAGCCCCACCTGAGTGGAGGCTTCATAGCCTGGCAGTCAGGCTTGTTGGGGGCTGTTACCTGTCGCCCAGAAACTCCACCTGTAGGCATAGCCCGCTCACTCCGTCTCCTATCCACTGAGCCGTCCTAGCTCAAGAACGTCCTTCTGCCTGTCATGCCCTTTCCGTGCAAACTCGGGGTCCTGATGCTTCTGCCTTCCCAACTGGCACCTCCACGGCTGCCCCCCTTGCACACTGGACCAGTATACTGTGTTGTCTGGAAATTCTTGGGGCCCCCAAGGCGAGGCTGACTCATGGGGCAAGCAAGGGTTGCAGTTGGCCTTCCTCCTCCGCCCCCTCCCACACAAAGACAGTCCCTTCCCCCCCCCCCCCCCCCCCCCCCCACTATCCAGTCCCCTGTCTGGCTCTGGGGAGGAGTCCCTGGAGTGGGAAGATGGAGCAGGACAGGACCCTGGCGACACCCCTCCCATCATGGCTTCCTCGGTCCCTGCAGGGGGGCACTGGCCTCTGTCCACATCCTCCTGTCCTGCCTCCAAAGGGCGCCACTCACCTGTGCCGTCTCTTCCTACGGGACCCAGAATCAGACCTGTAGGGCCATAAAAGGGTTCTCTTGAGCATGCCTGGGTGGCCTGAGGACGGGATCTGCACAGCATTGGTCATGGCGGGGCTGGGGCGGCGGAAGTGTGAGGAGGCCCCAGGGGCAGCCGAGGGTACCTGTCTCGGCGGTGTTTCTTCACATTCTTCTTTCTCTTGCGCAGGGGTGAGGAGCTCCCACAGCTGCGGACACAGTGGTGGTGGGGGGTCTAGTGAACTGGGGCCCCGGGATGAGGGGCGGTGGAAATAGCTGGGGAACCCTGGGTGCCTGGGGCCTCCAAGCTGGAAAGGGGATTCCAGGGCTTGAAGCCAACTGCCATTGTACAGAATGAATCGAGGCCCTGAGGGTCCATAAGGTCCCTAAGGGTAGTTGATGGAGCTGCCTGTGTTGTCCCCTCGTCACCTTTCCAGACCTCTGGGCATTGTGAGCAGGACTGTTTCAAACCCAAAGGTTAGAGGCCCCAATGATGGAATTTCTGGCCTCTGTGGGGAAAAGCTGGCATGTTGGCCCTGTCCAGGGTCCAGGCCCTGAGGTGGCAGGTCTCCAGCCTCTGGGGGATGGCCTTGGACTCTCTCCCACCCACAGACATCCTCTCCAGGCCCAGCCCGTCCATCGCTGACCCGCCTTCATTACTGACCTGCACTCGGAGTCTAGTCTCCTCTTTTTGCTGAGGGCCGGGGGAGAAAGAAGGGGAGACAGACAATTGGGCGGGGTTAGCTGGGGCCCCAGACATCGGCCAGGGTCTCACTTAGCACAGGGGAGAAGGCACACAGAGACGGGGAACCACAGATGACACCAGCCAAACGCCCCCTGCCCTGGCCACTCAAGCTGGTGGTGCAGGCAGGACCCCTGGGGAGGGCGCTGGGGGATGAAGAGCAGGTGGGCCGAGGCGGTGGCCGGGGGAGGGCTGTCCAGTTCTGGGGCAGGTGAGTGCCAGTGGTGGGGGTGGGTACTCGGGGGGAGGGGCCTGGTGAAGGGGAGGGGCTCTTGGGGGGCAGCGCAGTGAGGGGGAGGGACTCAGTAAGGGCAGAGGGGTTCAGCGAGGGGCGGGGCCCACAATGAGGCGTTGGCGCCTTGCCAGCCGAGGGATGGGCTCCTGGGGGCCGCACCGTCCTCCCGTCCCCGCTGGCCGGTGGCAGCTCTTACCGGCTTCTCCGGTGGCCGCCTTTCTTTTTCTTTTTCTTCTTGGGAGGGGGCGACGCCGAGCTGCTGGACCAGTGCTTGGTCCTGGGTGAGAAGGGTGGGGGGGGGCAGAGG